ACTTGAAGCATCGGCAAACATGTGAAGAGACAACAGACGAATTTTAATTAAATGTACGCATTTTAAGTAATCCAAAATACAGCTACTAAGGCTTGATCCTAAATCAATTAGAAACAGATCTACGTAAATGCCAAAAAGATCAACCAAGAAGGGTTGCTGTTATTGTTTAAACTTTAGACTGCAATGCCTCGGGCGTCGAAAGCGGTAGGTACAGAAGTATTGGTAAACGGTAAGATCTTGCATCGAAGAATTTACATCATTGTTCTCATAACCTCACAAGGCTTGCTGATCATTCAGTTAAAATTGGATTTGTTTTCGAACAAATCACCTAGTTTTGTCGATCGTCCCCACCGAAAATTAATTTTACCCTTCTCGTAAACCACAAATCATCCAAATAGTTTCTTTAAATGTTCCATGGGACGCACAATGTATTTAGCTTGAAAATGGTTGCCTTGCTACTCAATTGACTCAATTCTTTGGCTTTTTTTGAATATTAATCAATCATTTTAATTAATTAGTTAATTACGTTGAGTGCAGCGGAGATAAAATGCTATTTATACTGCTTGCTTTTAATTTAGTTTCATGATTACAATAAAGCAATTGTGCCGGTGTAATCTCGCATATTTACAAATTTGCGCCTTATTAGGCTCTGTGAAAATGGCTAAAAATTATTATTCAATTGTTAAAGAAATCATTGAGCTTTAATAATTGTTGTTTACACCTGTTTCGAGAAAGTTTGTCCTACACGAGTGTAAAGGCGTGCGCGACAAAATCGAAAGGTATTATGGGTAATGGTAGTTAGCGTTGCTTGATTGAGGCCCCGTCCACACCACCGCGGTCGGAGAAATTGGAAAACGCAGCTTTTTAATATTCCTGCGGTTAGGCGGACCGTCCGCACTAATCTGTGACGAAAACGGAGCCTTGCGTTTTATTGCGGACGGAGAACATTTTGGAAACGAGCTTTTCGAAAACGATGACATCCCTGACCGAGCCTCTCTCAAACAAAAGTACAAAATGACCGGTGACTGTTGCATTTTCAACTTTCTCCGGCCTAGTGAGGATGGAAAACATTTGATGCGTTTTCAGAGTGAAAAGCGCCGTTTTCAAGTTTATCTGGCGTAGTGTAGACGGGGCCTGAAGCTCAAGGTGTTTCAGTGTGACAGAAGGAAATAGCACAAACACGTGCTTTCTTTTTCCTTCTCATGTTGTTGACACACCGCCAACCTCAAGTAACGCCAAACAACTAATGACCTCTCATAACAATCGGCATTGTTGCTTACACTATTTTAGCATTACTCTTTCGTGGGACAACCTTTGTCGAAATCGCTGTGTAGAGAATTGTGGCAAACTCCCGCGATCTGAGTCACAAAGCTGTAAATATCTCGATTTCTGCTAAGAGCAAATGACTGCTGCGCGAGCTAGACTGAGAAGGTTACAGGTATAATGTGCTCTTGATCGGCTTCGTTTGACGCTGAAACAGATTAAAACACTCACTTGCTGAAAAGCAGCCAGGCTGGTATTTTATTAGACGACAAATCCCGTATCAAAAGCCAGCATTTGTCCAGACGCAAATGAAGTTTCACTTATGTAGGTATAATCTGTTTTATCGCAGGTGTTAGAAGCACTTGGATTTAAGAAAACTTCTTTTGGTATGTATGAATGTATTTGCAAGTATATTGACATTTGGTCCCGTTACTCCACTTCTCCATCGTGGCCCCCTCACTTTCCCCCCTAATTTGCGTCGGTTACTCATTACTGCTTCACATGTTTAGCCTACAAATACAGCTGTCTCTCGTTTTTCTCGTCGTTCTAGGCCGTAAAGCCAAACTGGCCGCACGAGCGATGTGATGTGGCTAAATTGGCGGGAAATCTCGTTCCCACCACCGTTCTCTGTTTGGTTAACAACGCACGGGCCCTGGGAACGAGATTGGCTAGACGGTTGACTAATGCGTAACTACAAGCATGCAATGATACAGTAGACTGAATCACCAAGATCTTGATTTAAAACAGACTTTTGACTTTGACCCGGTGTTTCTAATTAATGTTTTCAACCTGACAACATAAGTCGCGCCCGGTGAGACGACTGTAAAGTGGCCGACAAAAGTTCACGGAATTACTCGACTGAAATACGCTAGATTTTCTTCTAGTTTTATCGATTAGATTAATCTAGTAAAAGCCACAGAACACTTTTTTGAAAGCGAAATATCAATCTGACGCTGGTTTATAGATCAAAATATTAGTTCTGAAGTAGTAAGAAACTCCTTTTAACACGCTTAAGATTTCACTGGAAACGTTTCATTTTGCAATAATTGCCTTTTTAGACCTCTTTACTGGAACATCCGTCACGTTTTGCCATTTTCAGCACAGTTTAGTTACATTAAGGAGCTTCGTCACGACTTACGCATCTTGAAAAGCTTAGCCTAAGCTTTTCAGGTTCGTCGTTTTTAATCCGTGTTAACCATCCTTGTTCCTTTATGGTTTCTTATTCTCCCTTTGGTGTCTTTCTATCTTAGTAAACCACTATTTTCAAGTTTCCTTCAATTTAAATGTAATTTTGTACGTGGCCAAAATAACGCAGACTGTCTGGAAGATCATTTACTTTTTTTTTCCACTCTCAGTAGCATTTAGCGATAGCCACTTAGAAGTGACGAACCTAAAGCCTGATTTGATTCCAAGATTGTTCATTGACACTTCTCAGTTAATCAGGTGTAGCTTTCGATTCGTGATCATGTTTTCGAATTATTGAAACGAGAAATATGCTACATGTGGGAATAGAACTTGACAAAATCAATTTGAAAGGTACATGTGTTGAAAAGAGTCACGATTTCAATGAAAGATTCTCGAACTTTGTAAGATATATACGTGTCAAGCACTGAGGAAAAATTTTGAAAACCTTCGTTTTGAAAATCATTTGAAAGTCTCTTAAAGCAGGAAAGGCCTTTTAATTGATCAGTAATCTTTTTTTTCAGCCTCCACAGGAAGGGCAGATCTTCAGGAAAGAAGGAACAGTGCCCCTTTAACGGTACGGTCCCTAACAAGACAGGACAGAAAATCTTCATACTAACTCATCCCCTTTGTTGAAGAGAAAGCTAATAAGCAATAGGTATTATTAAAAACTGGATCATGCAATTCGAGAGTTTTCATTGGCTTAGCCATCATGGGCTATGAGCCATTATACCATGCTCTGCAAATATGGTAAGCGTACTCGTGATTTTTTGAGGGGCGTTTTTTTTTTAGTTTAGTTTTCTATATTTTGGGGGGCGTTTTTAATGAAACAATTATTCCTAGGATTATTCCACTCACGCTTGTTGGATATGAAAGGATTATAGCCAGCTCGGGGCTATGCGCCTCGTTGGCTATCTGTGATCTCACATCCCACGCGCTCGTGGAATAATTGTTTATTAAATAATCCGCGTTTTTATTTTGATTGAGATGATACTTCAAACACTCAAGAAGTGTTTGAACACATTCCTAAACACCCCTAAGTTGGTCAAAAATATCCCGCTTGTATTTTAAGCTCTCTTCTCGGTGTTTAGAAATGTGATCAAACATGGTCTTTCGTGTTTGATATATAACTTGGAATTTCTGCTGTTCAGGTTGGATTCCTCGAGAAAAAATGGCTCCAATCTGCAAGCCAAGGAAGTCTTCCTGGAATCTTGGCGTTACTAGAACAAGATCCTAACCTTGTAACTACTCAGGTATAGCGATGTAATGCAAATCTTAGAATATTGATGGAGTAATTGCAGTATGAAATAGGAAAATAGAATAATGAATAAATGTAAACTTATATATCAGAAGTACTGAAATTTGTCATTTTATGTCCTTGAACCTGACTGGCAACGACACCCACAGGATTTTGTTATGGTAAGCGATTTCTGATTGGCCATTTTTCACATTCAGTTTATTCACTCTCTGTTTCTTTTGTCACCAGTTTTAGTTAATTCGATAATATCTTCTTCAGAACTAATTCACTTTTCTTGTTTTCCTTGATTCCATTGCAATGATGTGGCAACAAAGGGAGTAAGTATATTGCCTTTGTCATCAGCTTTCTGTTTTGTCCTTCATTTAAAGGTCAATTATCCTAATTGATTTGTTCTTTTTTCTCTTTCTACAAATGACCCTACCATGATGTGATGAACCTCTGAACGATTTAGTTTGTAAGTATATGTTTCCTTACAATATAACGCCGACAATAAGTTTTGAAACTATAGAAGTTTGCAATTTAACAAATTGACGTCAGGTTTTTATGCGTGTCCTTTTATTGTTGATAAATTGCGTCATAGCATTGTCAAAGTGGCTGTGGAACCACGAGCCGCAGGCAAGTGGTTCCGCAGTAAACTTTGACAATGTTATGACGAAATTTATCATCAATAATAGGACAGAAGACAATGATGGACACCTGTCGAATATTTTTATTTTCTACCTACAGACCGCACTGCACTGGGCTGCGAAAAAAGGAAGAAAAGATATAGTTGAAATACTGACAAATACAGGAATGGACGTAAATATTAAATCAGTAAGACCACAAGTCCTCTGTGAGAATAATTTTCCTAGATCTTTTTTCTGTTGCATAACATGAAAATTTGACTAAAGTATTTTTTCTTTCTTTTAAAATTCCTAAATTCCGGCTTTGGTATTGGACTTGCCAATTATTCTACAATCGGCCAGAAGGTAAGATTTTGCGATCAAATTTTCCTCTGCGTACTGCACAACTTAGCGTAATCTCGTTCTCAGGCTTCACTCCTTTGGTAATCAATGACAGGGCTTTCCGCTGACCATCTAGGCACACTATGGCTCACACTACTAACATTTATTAATTCTCTTTCATTTCCGGTTAATGATGACCTTGTAATCTTGTCTTTCTCACTAAAGGGGGTAAGTATTAAAAAGAAAGTTATGTCGTTTATTTCGCGTGAATTTGAATACTGCAATGACGCCAAACCAGGTAGTTAACCGGCCTTCAATTTCCACAGCATCAATGGGAAATGAGGTACAAAAATGACTTTGAGAGCAAAGTAGCGGCTTTGAATTTTAGATCTGTTAATACGTCAGTGTCACGTAGTCACGCAACGCTACTAAAGCCATTGAGAGAAGTTTGTAATGTGACGACCAAAATTACGGCTGCGTCTAACTGAGCAGGGAACTGGGAACAAGCGAATCGCCAGAACGGGAAGCTCCTAGAGAAAGAGGCGTGTCTAATTTTGTTACATTTTTTTATAATTTGTTGACTTGATCTGTATGGTATGATTTCATTTTTCAGGGATACACCGCACTTCATCTCGCCGTGATTCAAGGCCACGAGAGTATAATGGCTTCCCTGTTAGATTGCGGTACGAAAATATCTTTGGTCACCCTCTTCTTTGTTGCAAACTACTGCGCACAATGAAGTGTTATAGCAAGAGAAAATGAGGGGGGTTATATTGATTGATTTGGAGTGGAACTATCAGCCAAGAAACTTCGAGAGCAAACAAACGTTCTGAGAACTAGTAAATGTCAATTAAAACTCATATTTCCTATATATTGGCCGGGGAGAAGTTTAAATTCCTCTTATTCTTTAATTTCGAGAAGCAAACAAGCAAAAATGAAGACAATGACCACGCTAGATCTGTGTGCTTGGCTAAAGGAAAACCAAAATCTATTTCAAGTTAACATTACGAGGCCATTTTTCGCTAGATTTTCTACTTCTCTGTGATCTAGAGAAAAAAACACCAACCGTTCTTAGTCGATCTATTGCTCAAATAGTCTACCGGGTAGGAAAATTTCCAAATGCCAATACCAAACTTATAACCGGCCTCTTTCTCTGTCTGATAGGAGCTGATATTGACGCCCGCGACAACAGCGGCCGGAAGCCAAAACACTACATAAAGGATGCCACTTCACCGTGGATACAAAGTAAGATATCGTTCGGCTTGAAAACAGCGTCACTTTGCGACTGATGATAGCGAGCCTTTCAATGGTTATTTGTTAACAAATAAGACAACTGGGGAAACTTGAGCACTGAAAAGCGAGAAACTTTGTTTGCACTGGGTGAGGTACAGTCTTTGTCAATTTTCGTCAAGCAACGAACAGATATGTGGTAAGATAAACCGAGTCGAGGCACGGGAAAACCCGCGTAAGTCAAGTCGCGTCTGATTGGTTGAAAACCAAGCACAACAACTTTTCAATCAGTCAGAGAGCTCAGCCACAAACGCGTGAAAATCAAAGCAAATACTAAATTATTTTGCCCAATTCGCTGGACAAGATTTTTACTGCGCGGCTACATATTAAAGTAACTAATTGCCACGCGCATGGGCGTGTTCTTGATTTCTTTTATTTAGGTAAACTTGGGAAAAGACTGGCGCCATCGGGTTAGTATTTGTGCACTCATCCTTTTTCGCAGAACTCCTGTTGATATAAAATATAAAACTGATGACTGAAAGATTAAAAATTTCACTACACTGATTGTTTTGATTTCTTGACGTCCTGTCTCAGAATAATCCACTTCCACCCACGTAATCCTGTCCTCTCTCTGTACTGCTTCGTGGAATCTTTTTATTCGATTTATATGTATATTTGGTGGCATTTGGCAACATAATCGGGAAATGATGGAAGAGAACTTTCGATCTGAAACCGCGGGGAGATTGTTCTTTAGGCCCCGTCCACACTACACCGGAGAAGTCTGAAAACGCATGACTATCGTAAGCACGTCGTTTTCGAAAAGCTTGGTTTTCAAAATGTTTTCTGTCACTTAAACGCAAAGCCAGCGTTTTCAAATTCCTCCGTGTAGTGTGGACGAGACCTAAGAAACAAACATACACTAGATTATAATGGAAACATTATCAACACCGTAAAAAAACTACGCGACCAAAGGCTCATTTTATAAAAAAAAAGGCCAAGCTCTTTCCAATCGTTTGTTTCTGTTTTAATCTTCCTGAGTGGTAATCATCCTTTCTTATTTTCGGTTTATTGCTTATTCTTAGATGTTTTTCTACTTTAGTTTCTGAATATCTTGAGGTTTTTTTTTCATGCAAAATAAGTTTTGTAGAGAAGAAAAGTGATGGTACTTCATGAATAAACTGACAGGACAACCTCGTTCCCAGGGTCTCTGTACTTCCCGCCCCCTGGCCTGGAGCGAGAGAGGGGCGATAAGAAGAGAGACCCTGGGAACGAGGATACTGACAGGAGTTTTTTTTTTTCCCTCTCGCAATTGTAGTATTCGTATCGTCAGGAGAGAACCGCAACAAAGGACTGCAAAACATCGGCTCCATATTCCTCCAGATGAAAGCACTGAGCAATTCGCTTGGGACAGGAATGGATAAACTAGACGGTGACAAAGACGTGTTACCTTCTCCAAGACAGAAACCCGCAAGATCGGTAGGTAGAATAATTCCGATATTGAAAGTATAACATCATTAGCGCAAAACCTCTTCATTTGATCGAATGTTTGTGATGCTACGAAAACTACCGAACCGTGCCTGTTTGGACTCGAATGTTTGTACAACCGGCGACCACACCCATTTTCTGGGCGTTGAAATATTCATGTGTTAAAATATTTTAACACATTTGTCCACCTCCTTCCGTTTCCCCTTATTTGACCTTCGCTTGCTGTCAACTCACAACAGCACGAAAATATGTGTTCGGGTCTGCAAAAAAAAAGTGGGAGTGGTCGCTGTACAAAAATTCGGCACCATTCCACGGTTCGGTGATATTTGTAGTAACGCCTGATATAAAATGGATCGTGCATGTGAGCCGCAAAGGGATCTTGTTTTAAAATCTTTTCTGAACTGAACATTACACGCCACAAGAGTTGCAGTCACCTTCTGAAACTTTGACACAGTATAACAGCCTAACAGTATAACAGGATTTTCAGCTTTGTCCGTTAGTTTTGAATGATCAGTCACTCTCGATCTTCGTGCGGATTTCATCTCACCATATAGTTTTGGACCATTTCCTGATCTACTGAATAGAATAAAGGGTGCATTTGCGTCAGCAACGTTCTGGTCCTCATGTCCTCGTGCAGTTTGAGGGCAACCGCTCAGAAGAAATTACGGGGTCATTTTCCGGCACTGTAAATTACCTTAGAGTTAATAGACCACATTCGTATTCTCGTGATAGGACTGGACCTAACTTGCAATGGAGGCTCATGCCGGGGAATTTCATTAAAAGGAGATTATTTTGCATTTGAAAAGACTCCCCGCATAATTAAGCCTCCATTGCAAGCTAGTTCCAGTCCAAAACCGAAAATACGAATATGGTCTATTCTATGCTTTCCATCTGTGATGCTTTGTGTTACTGGGATTCAGATGTCAGTGACTCACCAGTGGTCTTCTCTTTATATATGATGAAAACATCCAAACGTTTCGTTAATTCAAGAGCCGTTTAATTTTCAGGGATCGTTTGTAAAGATTTACAGAAACGTTACGGCTAAATTTAAGGACAAGAAACCGGTCTCAACATGCTCAAAGCTGGAGATTCCAGAAAGTACAGCCAGGTGAGTTAGATAGATCTCCTTGAAAGTCTTGGAAAGGTCTTAGCTCTCTTACTTCAGCTTCCATGGGAAATACCAATTAGATCGCGGTTTGTGCTGGCCTTAAATGGCCAATAAACATTCCAGTTCACATACATTTTGTTTTGCTGCAAATCAGATTTTACTGTGAAGACAATTTTCTTTAATCTTTCCCTTTGCATTGCAGTTATTACAGAACTGGTCGTGCAAGATCTGCTCCCGATATCAACCACATTATAGGCTGGAGCCCACGCTTTGTTCACGTGATGCCATGACTTGTTCATGACTTGTTCACGTGATAACGACCCGTTCTATGCCTAACCCGGCAACCCTGGTTTGCTCAAGTCTGTAAGATGACTTGTTCAGTGACACTGTAGTCTGTAACACGACTTGTTCACGTGATAATGCACCAGAAACGAGGCAAGACTTGATTTCACACTGTTAAATATCACAATCCACAGTTGTCATTTTATTACAAAGATTATGACTACAAAAACAACAGATCTGTACAAAAGGTGCAATAAATATTACCAACTATGTTCCTATCATTTTTTTCCTGAACACCTAGATCAAGACTTATCTGACAACCATTAGAAGCACGCTTGAGAAAAAAAGAAACCTACGCATTCACTGATCAATCTCCGTTTATAAAAATATATATTCTCCACTTTCAAATACCTTACTGATTCGTTGATTAAAGATTTAAATATTTTGCTATGCAAAACAACCGCACCGGTTTTCACATCCTAGTGTTCTTACATGGTACTAACCTTTTACGTCCAAAGATTGAATTGCGAATTCCCTTTCCTAATTGTCATACGGTTGTTCTTGTGCAAGGTATGAGAAATTAGTTGTAAATCAAGAAAATTTATCTCAAAGTTGATGGCTTTCACTGTCTCTCATCACCCGTCAGCTCAAAAATGCTCTACTAAGGAAAAGAGAAGTTGACTGCTGATCAGTCTCGGGCACAAAGGGTCAAGTGTTAAGTACAAATGGAGTGATACCTGCTCAAAGCTCAAAGTGAAGGGGGGGGGGTGGGGGGGGGGGGGGGCGGGGGGGGGGGGGTGTTAAGTTCCACGAAAGAAACGGCTGTGAAACGCTGCTTTTTCTGGAACTGAAAGTTCAAGGTTCAAAGGGCTCGTCCAGCAAGACCACAGTTAAAAAGGATATAAGTTTCCACTAGTCTTTTACATCAGTTCTTTAAGCAATTTGTTAAAAACTTTAGGAATCTACAAACGACTAAGGGCAAAAATGCTACAGTGATGGCAAGGCCCACGGTGAAACTACTACGGTGGCCAGCGGTTTATCACATAATAACGCAGGCGCGACTCCCCTCTGTGACTTTGGGGTCCGCTTTGATGACTCCGCCATTAGCCGTGGTACCGTTTTGATTCTTCAACATCTGAAATTGAAAACAAACGCCATAAGTTACTACGATTATTACTAAAGAAGCTTGTCTTGGCGGGTTTGAACGGCTTGGAGCATGGTGGATTACACACACCGACTTCTTGTTCATATTTTTAACTAGATTTGATTATTAAAAGACAACGAACGCCACATCAACATATAATGACACGATGGTTAGTAGATTCTTGGCAATAATAATAATAATCAAAGTAAGTGCTATCAGCTGAGGCTGATTTCTCGATATTTCATAAACCTCGTCGGACATGGTAAATATCTCAATTATTTCCTGCAAACAGGGTAATTTAATGCGTTAATTTAATACCCCATTTCCTTGAAAACTTCAAATTCCACATTTCCCTTACTGGCTTCCATGGTGAACTAGCATTTCCTACAGTTGAATTTATTGGTAAAACTGGATTCAAAGCGGAATTTGGCTAATCCAGAATTCAATTCAGGTTTATATATATTGCACAGACTTGTTTGTCACGATAGTTTTAGTTTTGTCCTAATTCGAAATATGCTAATGATATCATTTACTCCAAGATCCGCTTTTCATCAACCGGAACTTGCACTAGCTCCGCCTTCTCGTACTTTAGAAAGACACTCAGAACTCGAAAGCGTTTTAAGATTGGACAGAATAGCTCCACCACCCACCCTCACTGTGGCCCTCCATGTTATACTCAGGCTACCCATGCGAGTTCTGTACTTACCACCATCAGCGTGTTGACTTTGTATTTAGTTCGTCCATACTGGTGAGCGGCTGCCGCGCTCACTGCCCGATGGAAAGCTTCAAATGACTGCTCTTCCTTCGGCTTTTTGGCCCATTCGGTACAGAGATCCTGTCGAAAAAAATTAAAAAAAAAAAAATTATAAACATAACATATCAACAACGTTGTAACACAGGGATACTAGTACTGCGAGCAGGAACCGCTGTAATACGTCCTCATTACGTTCCCTTTAACCCGAAAACCCGTCTGCGCTGTGCGCAATTTCGTTCGTTCTTTTAAAGGGACACTATCATGGCGATTTTGATACATTTTGCTAAATCGTAAGGCCAATAGGTGTTGGTAAACAGGGTTTCTGGCGACCCGTATTGCTGTTTTTTTCCGTGTTGATGGTCGAACAAGGAGCGACATTTGCGCGTGTAAGAATCTCAAGGAATAACTCCAGCTTACACATCAACTGGGACCACATTGTACCTCCACACCATGGAGCTGGACTCAGTTTGCGTTTGAGCTCATTTCTCCCGTCACTGATGAAGATCGCGCTTAACACTCCTACCAACGAATAACGAAAAGAATAACTACCAACTGACCTGGATGCGTTTTTCTTTCTTGAGCAGAAGTTGGTTTTTCCTCTTCAGCAAAATGTGTTCGGCCTTAAGTTGAGCAGGAGCGATGTCATTGCCTATCATGGTGGTAGATCGAGCACCCATACCAGGCCTGGTCATTTGCATTTCCATTTGACGCAACTCCTATGGAACAGAGACTAAGAAATTACAAACCTTGCCAACATTCTGGCTTTATAAATGCTTTTCGTTATTGTTTCATTATTGCTTCAGGCCTTTTTTACTGGCTGTAAAATTCTGTTTAAAAGCACGCTGGCCGTACCGAAGACGAAGGTTCGCTTTTTTCGATGTTCGTAACTTCAGTTAGTCCAATTTGTGATAACGTTATCCCCCAAACAAGGAATATTTCTCAAAAGATGTCTCGACAGCAAGTGATTTTTTTCACGATGTACAGAGCGGTTGTCACTTGAGTGTCGAAAGTAATTCACAGTTTCTTTGGTTTTGCTTTACTACACTACGCGTCATCCAATCAGAAGCAAAACCAAAAAAAAAAAATGTATTTGCTTCGAGTTTTGATTGGTTCACTGGATTGTCCGTGTCCTTTGTGATTGGCTAGAGTTACTAATACGATACTCAATTTAAAACCGCTCTATAATTAGCCACAAATCCACAATACAAACGTTCAAGGGTAGGAAGAAATCAGAGACAAAAAGGAACGAGATTTGTTAAAATTGGGAGGGATTAAGAACGTCGACGTTCATAAATTCCTTCAAAGTATGACATCCGTTCGTGACGTAAAGAGTGTCCAAGTTCGACAGGCAATCCACGAAAATGTGACGCACCGCAAGAACGTGTAACGCATACCTTAGTGGTCATTCTTTTACGACTGGAATCCGGATCGCTGTCCTCTTGACGGCCCATCAGTTGAAAAGTGATGCAGCCAGAATCGAACCAGTCCAAGAGCTCTTGTTTCACAACGTCAAAGTGAAATACTTTTGAATCCTTTTCATCGAACTCCGGTGATAGAGTATCTTTCACGGTTTTAGTTGTGGTGAATTCGGTTTCCTGGAATGACTTGTATTTGATGTACAACCCTTTGTTGAACCTGCTGTCATGAACGTTAGCATTTCGAATGCTGACCTGCACCAAAAGAAAAGTAGAAAGCATCAGTAGGGCAAAACGCCCTAAGCCTGCGTTGCAGGCGTAAACGAGGAAGGGGTAGGGAAGGCGAAACATCTCTCCTCACACCCCTCTCCTACCATCTCCGCGCTCCCCCTTCCTATCTCCCGTATTACGTTTGCTTCGCAGGCTAAAACGCCCCTAGCTGTAGCTACTTTGAATGGTAACACAACAGCTTGTCACGCAACGCTTAAAGAGTGACAGTTAGGTAAGAGGCTTACGTCACATTTTGGTGGGTCTTAATATGCAAAACCTCTTAAAAAGCGGCTTAAACTGTAGCTAAACACGAGCGAAGGACTAGAAATCTTAAGATAATGGCGGATGGTCAAAACCCTCCTCTGAAAGATCTCATCAGTTCAGGTGTAGAACTGTAAAAATCAGGTCTACCTTGAAGTGGTAATCTTTGCCAAGGAGCTCAGAGGGATCCTCAACGAAAAATTCTTCATTCAGCGGTTTTCCATTGGCATAACAAGGAGAAACATTTATAACTGTGGTCGCCACTTCTTCGCCCTAAAACAGCAAGAAATAAATCAGAAATTATACTTAGTAAGCACTGGCTGAGGTCGATCTGTGTTCTTGGGAAGACACTTCGCCTCTCTCCACCCCAGGCATAGAAACTGGGTACCACCATATTTAATGCTGGGGGGTAACCCTGCGATGAACTAGTGTCCCATCCAGGGGGGAGTAGAAATACTCCTAGTTGATTTATGCTACAGAAACTGCGATAGGCTCCGGCGGTATGGACTGCTTAACCGGACGAAGACATTACTTTAATTGATACTTAGTAAGGCTGAACTCTAATTTATATAACTGTTTTTCTAACGGATGTTGTCAACCAAATCATATGTAGTCTTCGTGAGACACCACAAAAGCAAGATGGCGGGAATCAAAACTTATTCCTGGTAAGAACAACCAATCACTGTCAAGCGCGGGAAAATGAGCTTAGATTAAGTCTCCTGATTGGTTAAAGAAACAGCATGTTTCCTATGATTNGACATAAACGGATTCTTGACTTTAAAAACTTGAAATTATTGAAAAACCGGTGCGCGCGCGTAAACAACTGCAAATTTACCAAGGACAATTCAATACGCGCGATTTTGTTAAAGCGCTAAGTTCAATAAATATTTGATAAATAAATAAATTAGGACTCAATGACTGTTCACTATCCGTGATTACCTGCATTAGAAATCTTCTGTTCATGAACTTGCCGCGGTCCCAGAGCCAAACATTACCATTCAGTAAGCTCTTCATTCTCACCATCACTCTAAAATAACATCAGGTATAACTCAAATGTTAACTTGTTTTACTGTAACTTTAGACAGAATTTAATTGGGTTTAAAACGCCAAATAACTCTTCATTTCAGTATAATAGCATGTCTTAAACGTTTTTTTTTTTCAAAAGTGAAATTGTTGTTATTTCTTTTGTTAGGTTCTACTCTAAGTAAGGCTTCCTTCTTACCAAATTCCTAGCCTGTCTCAACTGGCACTCCTTAATATTAACAGCACCTGCCTTAAGAAAGGCNCCAGATTAGAAGTCCAGAGCACTAATCATTAGGCCACAGCACCCTCCGGTTCTAAAAAGATCACATGGTTACCTTTGGAAAGTCCAGAGCCAAATCCTGTTGCAAAACCTTTAGCTTGGGCAATCTCTTTTTGTGCAAACTCCCAGTCAACATTATCAGGGGTTCCTTCACTTTTCTCGGTGTTGGCTGGGTTTACCAGAATGTACATGTGATTTGAACCTGTAACAAGACAAACCCCCTTGACATGACATTTTTGCTCCTAGAACAGTAGTTTGAGGCAATTACAAACACAGTTTATACAACACTTATAACTGTGATGGTCTTTCATTTCAACTAAAAAACAAATTTGGTTTTCATATTTTGAATGAGCGCAACACTACCATGTTTAAATTTTTATTTGTCTAATAAAATTGAATGGACAACTTGGCAATAAAATAAATCTTATTGAAACTTTCGCTCTTTCCTTTTTCTATCTTTCTTTACTGTCCCTCATGGATTTACAAAGTTTTTGTAATGTACTGTTTGCAGCTTACCAAATAAGATCCTGTCATAGTTTTTAAGAACACGCTCTCCAGTTAGCGGCATTCCATTCACCTTTGTCTTGGCACCCGGTGACGCAGGCTCAATGGTTATTTCATTATTAGCTGTTTTTATCACTGCATGTTGCTTTAAAATACTGTAAAGTAGATACGAAAGCTAGTTAGCACAGCCAAAAAACTAAGAAGCTTAAAACCAGTTGTCAAAAATTAATTTGAAAATCAACTAATAATGATTTTAATCAAGCAAGAAGTCAGTTGACAACACATAATAGTCTAACCAAGATTTATGTGCAGCATGAAGCAATTACTTGAAGTAGAATTTCTTCTCCACCTTCACCGTAAATAAGATACTGCCACCCCCTTGTACTCCTTAGTAGGGGTCAACACCAGGGGTGGGGGAGGCAACCTACAATAGATGAGCATCTTACCCAGGGGAGTAAAATTAACACTCCTGGGTGCATCATTCTATGAAAACCAGAATGACGTACTGTCATACAGTTGTGCAAAGGATGGGTAATGCTATGTACTGTAAGTGAATAAGTCAAATATCTGGTGGATAGGTGTTAACAATGCAAACTTCCTTAATCCATTGCATAGTGATTTGCCTGGTGGATAGCATTATTTAGCCACCAGGGTTTAGTCTAGTGAGTAAAGTATTTCAAAGGCACACTTTTTAATATGTCACTGTGAAATCAAATGAACTGCATGACACAAGGCCAAATTCAAAATATCAACCTCCAGTATGTAAAGCAAGACAAGACCCAGTGGAATGTCCACAATGGGGCACCTTTTATTGGTTTACTCACCTCAGGCCAGTCAGAGGGATGTTAGGTGCAGGATCTGCATCTTTCCTTCCTATCTTTGTCTCCACTAGGAAGAACAGACATTAGTTTAGAATGTAATTTCAAAGTAAATCACGTAAATGCTAGAAGCCAAAATGCCAGACAACAGGATAGACTTATGCATACAGCAGGTTCTCACTGGTGGAGCTGTTTTGAAAGCAACATCTCCTCTTCTCAAATGACTGCCACTGTCAAGGCACTGATCTACTAATGACAGATTATTGGATTCTCCACACTAGTCTGATATGAAAAGCACAAAGACCTATGTAGATAATTTGTCAGATGAAGGTTTTCCTTTGCCTGAAATTCAATCTCAGACTAGTCCAACCTTAAAGCTTGAATAGAAGTAAAAAAAGTATTGCACGTCCAGTTGAATAGCACATGGCTAGCTTGCATACACGAGGTTCAATTTAGTCACTGATGTTTTACTTCTATTGTTTTAAAAACCAATCAAAATCAAGCCTGTAATGATAAGTACTCTTAAGAGTCACATATTTCATCAAGCTTGCACAGTAAGGAATGAAGACTCAAAGAATGAGATTGAGACTAGTCTTGTTTATACCAGGATGTCAATATACTCTGACTTACCTTGTTCCAAGAAATGATAAATCACCCTAGACAGCATAGGATCCTCATTCAAGTTGATCAAATGTGGTACAGTTTGAATCTTTTTCTGTTTTTCACTCTGCTCTCCAACTGAAGAATCACTTTGAGACATCTGGACCTGTTGAGAATGATGATGGGTAAGAGTTTGCCACATCTCTTAAATCACTCATGGAAGAACGTGCTATGATGTGAAAATTACAAAAAAAAAAAAAAGGAACAGACTTCATAATATTTACAGTAAGGTGCAGTTACAACGCATGATTGGGCTGCCAATTTAACAGACTGTGTTATACTGTACTGCATACTAAAATTTAAAGCTGTTTTCATTGCCAAAATCTTTTGTGATTTATCACCAAGTGTTTCTACCTTTCATGGCAAGTTAAAGTTTAAAACTTTACTCTACATTGTGTATTAAGAGGTGCTAATGAAGGATCAAGGTGGATAAAGGATCCGTAACTTACAGTACGGACTGAGAAGACAAGGTTAGTAAGAGGTATATACTAATATCCCTATGTTACCTTTTCATCCCAGCTCATCATGCTCTGAGCATTAAACTCCATCTGTGCAAGGAGCTCCTCTTTCATTTTCTTTCGCATTTCCTCTTTCTCCGCATCACCTGGGCAACAGTCATAACAGTTTAGTACTTGAAAAACAGAAATGTATGTATCCAAAAATCCAGTCTCTATATTTTCCTGATTATCCAAAGCTTACTGTAATTGATCAACAGAATGATACATACTCATTTCTCTGCCACCAAGGTCCATGGTAAGTCCTCCACCTTCAAACATTTTCTTTAGCTTTTCATTTTCTTCCCGTAACTCACGAATCAGTTTGTCCATTGGATTTTCATTAACCACAGCTTTGTTCTTGATTTTCTTTGCACGATCAGCATATCTGTTAGAAAAAAACTGCAGTCAGAAATTAAACCACCAAGATTTTTATGTATATCTAATATTGGTTTATCTATCAAAATAAATCATGGAACAGAGATCAATGAAAATGATACAAAATTCAGATTCTGGATAAGTCTGCCAATGTATTTAAGTTTCAAATACTGTTTTCAAACGTAATTTGGGACTACAGCACCTCAAAGTTCCCAGAGTTTCATCATAATTGATATCAGCTGGAGACAACGCAGCAATCATAATAGTCTTGCTGTTGCCACCCAAGGCATTCTGAAGCAGTTTGGTGAGCACGGAGTCACGGTACGGCACCATCACTTTCTTTTTACCCATGGACAAGTCGGCCAAGGCGGAGATCACGTTACCCAGAGCTGACAGGGATTTGTTGATATTGGCACCCTCCTTGAGTCTGTCACCTGTGGCTCCTGTGCTATCAGCTCTTTCACTTCCTTGTGGATACAAGAACAACAACAATGGAATTCCTGTCACCTCTCTGCTTGACAAATATGTATCAGTTATATTGTAAGTGGGAAAAATTTCATTTACTTATGTACTAGATAACTTAGCCTGTTATAACCATTTGACAAGTGCAAATAGCGTTACTACCAATCAGAATTGAAGACAGAACAGGTCTCGATCAAAAGTTGTTTTACAAGAGCATGAAATGACTGATCACACACAACTGGTTTAATTCAAACAGTTAGTTACGATTGAGACAAAGCCTTTTGCTGACTTGAAACGGCATGTTTCCTTGGAAAATAATTTCAGTTTCATATTCATCAATTAAGTACACTAACTATGTTTGAAGATGAAAGTAACATCAGGTTTTCACAAAAGTCAAACAAATTGAACTGGAATTTTGACAATGTTACTTTTGATGATGGACAAAAACTGGAGTAATAGGAGAAGAGTCTTTGGAGGAAGGCAGTAAGCTAATAATAAACTCAACCCAGATAAGACTCTTAGCCAGAATTGAACCCAGACCACATCAGTAGGAGGAACGGTAAAGGTAAGGTAGAGTCTGCAAATGAGCCAAGTGGCCCATCAGGCTGACCCATATTCTCCAGTAAATCTGTAGCATGAAGCGACTAGGATATAATTGGTAGTGCAGTAGAAGGTTAAAGTAGGAGGCAAGAGTTTGCCTCAGTGCTCTCCCTGTGGGAGGCTCAGTAGCCAAGTGGTAAATAGACAGGACTACGGATGGAACACTTCAGGTTTTAAACCTAGTGGAGGTCACTACATTGACTTCTTGGGCTGGGCATTTTACTCTGACATTGCCTCTCTCCACCCAGGTGTACAAATGAGTACTCTGGCAAATTTAATGCTTGGGGGTAAACCTGCAAAGAACTAGCATCCCATCCAGGGGTGAGTAGAAATACTCCTAGTAGCTTAATGCTATGAAAAGTGGAATACGCTCTTGGGGTATGAGCCACTTTGCCTAACGCTGACTTTTCAATGCTCTCTCTGCTGACCCCTAAATTAGAAGCCAGTGAATTCGTTGAGTATACAAACCTGCCAAATCTACCAAGTTTATGTTACTACTCTTCTTTGTTTCCTGTCCTGTCGCATTCTTGCTGATCTGATCAAACACAATTGTTACCACTGTGTGAGCCCGAGAGCTTGTTGCATTCATCTGTGTTGCAGCCACCGTTCGGTTGGCTGTGCCTAATATTTGAAAGAAAATGAGTTTGTAAGTAATCGGTGCTGCCACTAATATACCCATCTCTGCAATATAAGATTAAAGGAGCCTTACAAAAATCCAGTACATTTTCTGGCTCAGACATTGTCTTTGTCCTTTTACATAAGCAGTGGATATACAGATGTACCAAGAGGGTCCAACAAAGGTTTGGCAGGCAGGATGAGAATAAAAAGCAAGGCAGGATGCACTAAGATAACAGAATATTTAATGGTAGGATGTGGGATAAAAATACTTTTGCAGGAACAAGATTTGCTCATTTTAAATGGCAGTATGTGATGAAAAACAGAAAATCACCATGTTAGGAAGAAGTTACATAGGGAACTGCAATTCTAATCACGCAGGATTGGGATAAACATTCTGAGGGGGGATAGCGATATTGAGCCAAAATTAGTGGCGTAATGCAGAATTGAAAAAGCTTATGTTGGACCCTCCACCAACCTATACCACTAGGTACATACAGGGGTATACTAAATGTCAGGCCTGATAACCTAATTTGAAAATTTCCCCAGCACTACATGTAATTTGTGGGATGTGCATGTATCTCACAATTGTTAACAGCAGAACCTTCACGACTTTGTTTAGTGACATACCTTCCTCAATTCTTCTTTCAATGTCTTCGTAACTGACAACTGCCACCCTCTTTAGATTTTGAACAAAGAAATTCCCTTCTTTTGGGTTCTGACGAACCTGTGATGAGCAAAGCCGGCAAATATCAGTAACTAGCATGGTTGTGCATTAGGATAATTGTACAAAAAAAAATCAATCAGACAGATAGTTCAGTCTCACCTGTAGACCACCCTTGGGGTTATTTTTAACAAGAAGATCACGAACTTGTTCATTGTAAATCTCTAACATGCTAAATGATACTTGATATTTCTGCAAAAAGAACAATCAATATATAATTATTATATATACCAACTGAAAATGCATGTTAGCCAAGCTTGCTATCAGCCTTTGATCTTTTTTTCTATGGGTTGTGCTTGGTCTAGACTATCATGACCTTGGGCCAATATTCTCCAAGGCAACCATGGATATTAAGATATATATGTATTTGAACACCACCCTTACACTTACAATGTCTCCTGCAGAATTGTCCATTGCTTTAAACAACTCATCACAAGTGATGGGAACGATTCCCCTAAAAAATAAAAAGAATCACTAAAATTAATATGGATATTTTTATTTCACACTAAATTCTTTATCTCTTTCAGTTATTTCAAGCACAGGGGCCAAATAGTTTGTCCACTCAGTGTAGCTTCTTTTGTTGCTGTTTAAGCTAAGGTCATCTTAAAATAACAAAAGCTTCTTAAATATATGGTCTTCAAAGCGCCATTTCTTGAAAAAGAGCACAGCTCAGTGCACCATTTTTTGCCTTACTGCACGGTAAGAATGAAGACAGGACTGATTATCACAGTTATGCACATGCAACTTAAGCAATTGTGAAATTAAGGTGCTTCCACTCAAAAAGAAGGAGTATTAAAAAATTTATCGAACTTCATCCATTTGGTAGTCATGTTATGTATATCACAAAAATGCAATAAAAAATAGAGGTCACCGTCCTTGTTTTTGCACAACATGGATGGCCTTTATAGCAACTTTCATTCTTGTCCCCAGAGGCTGCGGTCCTTTTGGTCAGCAGCAAGAATTGCCACCTCTGGGATTAGGTTCAATTTTCTGAGCATGCTCAGAGAATTCACTTTGTATTCTCAGCCAATCAGATCTGTCAGACTTAACTCTGAGCATGTGCAAAGTGACAGGAAGTTGGTGAATCGTGGACTTACAGTGTTGGACTTTCCAAGAGGTCGCGATTCATGGTGCTGACCAAAAGGAGCACAGCCTCTGGGTACGAGAATGAGCAACTTTGTGTTTGACAAGGTTGTCTTTACTTAACCGTAGTTGGCAGCAAGGGGCACTACACATTCTAAGAAAAGCACTTATTGGATTAATTTACTGGAGAAGTTAAACAAACTAGACCCTGAACTTACATTTTAAACCATGTTAAACTTAGTTAAACAAGAATTACAATTATACTACAAACTTAAGAACTCTCTGTGTGGGCACATACCCAGCACTATTCTTTTCGGCAGTAAAATCACAATGTTTTTATGCAGAATTTTAAACTTTTCTTCAAATCGAGATATATTGTAGATAACCTTGTGTAATTTACATTCATGCATTAAAAAGTAGGGGTCACTGTGCTTGTTTAAGAGAAAACGAGCATTTATTTCGCTGTACAGCTTAGCTTGAGGGAAATCTCTTAATATGTTTTGTATGTGCACACGCTCATATGCATGCGCTAATGACGCCAAAATTGTGCACAGTAGGGATGTGCAATGCAACACTGAGGAATCACCTTTAAGCCTGAAAAAAATTCAGGCCTGAATGGGATTTGAACCCATGACCTCTGCGTAGTTCAAATATATGATCTTTCATCTATTCACTTCTATTCTTCACCATCTACTAGTATCTTATGAACTCACAACATGGCCAGCTCCCAGATGACTTGATAGCTCAGTTGGTAGAGCACTGCACTGGTATCCCAGAGGTCATGGGTTGGAATCCCGTTCAGGCCTGAATTTTTTTTTCAGGCTTTAATAATTTCACAACTGCTTAAGTTGTGTCCATAACTGTGATGATCAATCATGCCTTCACACCTTTCTCAGCAGTTCAAATATATGATCTTTTATACATTCACTTCCATACATGGTAAGTTTTGAAAAAATCTGTTTGTGGGAACATTTTGGGTACAAACGTAGTTAAGACCATTGGCAATGACAAAAATACCCTTTACTATCCTCAACCTAAGTGTATTGTGGCCCACTTGGTATCATTTTATGGAATTTTGGTTAAACACATTATTTTCTCAGTGCCTCTATCTCTTCTTCTTCTCTACAGTTCACTCATCCCTGAATGATGGACATGAGTGTTTCGATGATATTTATAATGTAGGTAAAGAAATGACAAAGGTGCTCAAGAAACTGAAGGAACACTGGACCATACTCTCTACACTTTTCCACTGTACTTGTCACTTTTATGCATACTTTATTTACAACAGGTCAAAGCACGGTAATCTTTTGAACAATAGAATTATAATTGACATGAAAAATGACACCAACCACATTAAATTTAGTTAAATCTAGTTACTAACTACTAACTTGTTGTTTCCATATCCAACCATGGAATACGACTTGCCAGCCCCTGTCTGTCCATATGCGAATAGTGAACAATTGAAACCTGCCAGTATGAGTGAAGCATATTATTAATAAAATGTAAATGTCAGAGAGAAACCCAAGGAGCCGTAACAGTGGACAGGCGTCTTTTGCTGGATGGAGTTCATAACTGATTGTCCACAATCAGGGGAGGGCCAAGAGTAGTAACCATGTGACATTCACAAAGCATGTTTCAATATTGAACACTGATTTTTCTTTGACTATTGACGAAAAACATGCTGCTTGATCAAGGGAAGTATGGGTCTCTGTCAGAAAATGTTCTATTTGCAATTGTGCCCCAAAATTATTGTTTCTAAAATGCAGGGGCATAGCCAGGGGGGCCCCTGGGATGCCAGTGACCCCCCGTTTTGCAGGCCTCTTTTAAGCAAACAGCCTACAGTGTAGAACAGGTGGTTGAAACAACGTGACAATCGGGTGAGCACCCTCACTTTGACACAGTGTGATCCCCCCTTTGAAAAATCCTGGTTACGCCCCTGAAATGGGGCTCTGAGGAGGGACATTCACTTCATTTCAATTTTCAAACACACGAGCAATGGTGGCAACCTGAAAGCCAGCTGTCACAACAGCTGTTGCAACCTTTCTAACCTGTGTTGTGATTCGTTTGAAATACTGTACAATCTGCTTTTCTGCATGACGATTGGCGAATTAATCAAGCTTCCAGTTACTCGTTAGTGAGTGACTCATTTGCATACAAATCCCCACCACATATGCTATGCATATCCACGAGTAAAAAAGGCAGCCATGAATCTTTTGTGCCAGTAGAAAATGAGTAGAAAAATCATTTGCCCCTAACATTGAACCTACTGAATTTCTTATGAGTCTTAATTTACTTTTGCAACCATTTTTTTTTCACGTAAACAAATATCATTTCCATGCATAACCATGGCTCTACTGCAAAAAGAAACACCTTATATTAAGTAATTATAACACAATGTCGTAAATTAAAAAAAAGGACATCTATGCTGTTTACCAGGCTTCTCAATGTTGCCAGTAATCATTATATGGAAAAAAAATTTAAACATGTATAGGATAGCCTAATCACCTGGAGACCTTTTCATGACACTAAATTAATAAATATTTAAAATGAACAATATTCATTTAATCTATCGAAAATTGACCACTATATTTCACCTATTTTCTATTAATGGATTTAATAGACTTTCGATGTAGAATATAGATCAACTTCAAGCAAAATTCAACTGTTTTGGTTATATTAGTGCCTAAAATATGCAACAAGTCGAAAATATAGGGTTTCAAATATACAGAATAATGTATTCAAATCAAAACAGGAACTAGGATTCCAACAATGATGACATGAGCTACAAGTTAACTGGACCAAATATCACAATAATTGTAATATTGCGCTTATAACTTTGCACACTATTACTCTTTCAAGGATCAAAAACATTACAAACTGAAATTAGCTTGCACGGAAACCAAACGATAAACAAATCGAAATGAATAAAGCTTCAAAAGAAACTTAATCATAATTACCATGGTACGGCACGGTGTCTTAAAATCTGAGCGGTCAACCAAGCTGACCAAGCTAATCAAAACGTGTGGTTGAAACATGAATGTCTTTTAAAAGTAAACATAGTCGACAGGAAGAGTTCTGGATGTTGTCTGATTATAATAAGCTCACCTTCGAAAGCGTTGTTCAAAACACCTTGTCCTAAATCATCGAAAACTTTTCGCTGTGTAGCGTACTTGTCGTTATCTGCGACGAGGTAGCCATTCTCGTCCTCGTGGAAGCCATCGTGAGACCTACAATTGGGTAAATGGCTCTTATCTTCGTTACGATAAACAGTTAGGCCCTCAAATTGAATATAAGAGTTTGTTTAGGGTGTGCAGAAGCTTACGTCTATAAGCTTCATAAAATGAATTTACGATTACAACAATCGTCAAATAAGGGCACATGAAATTTAACAAGCAAATTTTGGGACTCACCAATAGGAGAAATCAAACGTGAACTGTAAGATGAAGCATCATGAAAAGGAAAGAAAAAGAAATAAAATTGTGTTAGTTGTTGCGCAATGAAAGCTGAACTATTAAAACTATCGCTGTATCGCCGGTAACGAGTTGACGACAGCGCGAACGAACAAAAACATTAAAGCGAAGTAACATTCTCACCTCCTTTGGCGGGTTTCCTGTGTGAAAGAGAGAAAAATAGCGAGAAATAAGTCAGTTGTTTCAAGAAGTTAAAGCTCCTTTGGAAAACCTTTCGCGGAAAGTTTGTGGTAAAGTAGTAAGGTAAACATTCCAAAAGCGCGAAGAAGAAAGCTAAGCCCTACCTGGATTCTCCGGGTCCGTGATTTGGGTGAGAGCTCCGATCATATCAAGAACGAGCTTCGCCCCACGGTCTTTCTCTCTGCAAGGAAAACCCAAGGTTTACGTTCAAGAACACTGTATTAAGCAAAAGGAGCTTCGTGATTTACTTACCTCGAGTTGAAAGGCCGAACTCGGACCGCCACCTTCACCCTGCAAGATCATAAAACCCCGATTAATTTTGTCGTTCGTTCTCCAAAGAGTTAAATTCAGGATAAAGACAACTTACGACTCTGCCATGGCAGCTGTATGGAAGATTCAGTTGATTTCTTTCCTTTGAGACCCAATAACGATGTCTTTTCAAGTTAGATGCAAACTTATCGATGCTTTCACTCAACTGAACTCAGCCTCCAGCAAAAGCCAAGTCTGATTTGGCGACGGAGGAAGAGGGGGGAGTTACGATTAGGGCGGGGGTGGGGAGCGTAATGCAAAAGTAACCCTCTAGTTTTGTTTCTCCAGTGAAATCGACAGTCCCTGACGGGTGAATGTGATTTACAATGTGACTTTTTTAAAAAAAAAAAATACTTCGACAAGGTTAGAGACCCCAAGGCGGACGAGTTCATTTATGGAAAATATTTTTTTCATTATTTTTGACTCACAAAGCACCTGCAGCGCAAAATGCGATAAAACAAATACACTTCTGTGAGTGTGATGGTGACACCGTCAGAGAAGTGGAGCCCGCCTACAGACAATACAAAATTGCCACATTTTTATCCTTAATTATTTCGTCTGCCGTGAATCTTCTCAAGTTTGTCTGGGATTTATTTTTTTAATAAGCTATTATATTTCTGTCCCTTTCAATATTGCTGCTGGCGTTTCAGTGGTGTCAGAGAGTAAACACTGTAACAGCTCTATCAAACAGAAAGTTGAATTTCATCCAGGAATTTGACAGGCTATCGAAGTAATTTTTTTCAGTATTTACTAATTTTGTCGACAGCCGCCGGGGTTTGCTAAAAATGTAGGATTTACAGAGATGCTTTTTTGAAAGAATTCTGAGAGGAACACGAGAAACAATAAAATTTGGCTGTCTGCTGTCGACTCATTTTGAGAGTTGCTATTGAGTCTTTCTCGATAATTAAAGTAACATTTGACGCTTTGAAAGCCTTTATCGGAGCAAAAATTATGAAACATTGCGTTGTTTACAAAGTCAGCATAAGGTATGATAAAATCCTAAGTGGCGAAAGACGCGAAGTATTTGCAAAGAGATCTTCTGTATTAAGACATGGAAACTCAAAGAGAAAAAATAATTATATCGTGACGGTTCCTAGATGAAATCAAGGCCTCTGTCGCAAGCAACCAAGCGTACTTGCGCTCCCTTCCCCCCCTGAACTCAAAGGGCACCATTCACCACTGTATCCATGACAATAGCCGAGTATTGCTCCATAACAGTTCGGCAGAACAATGGAGAGGACGTGGATTGAATACCTCTGTTGTTACATTAACTTGGCTAACTAATTCCTTCGACACGCCGCTTTCGTATCCGACCACGTTTTTAAAGGGCGCTGATTCCAGTCTTGCGGTATGCGGGAAAAAAAAGCGCTCTGAAATGAAATTAAATTCAACTTTAATTGCTTATATACAAACGTTTCCAAGGTGTACAGAGCTAGCAAGTAATCGCAAACGCATAGAAGTTGGATGTCAATGTTTTGATGTGTTTTCTNTGCTGACCAAAAGGAGCGCAGCCTCTGGGTACGAGAATGAGCAACTTTGTGATCGACAAGGTTGTCTTTACTTAACTGTAGTTTATAGCAAGGAGCACTACACATTCTAAGAAAAGCACTTATTGGATTAATTTACTGGAGAAGTTAAACAAACTAGACCCTGAACTTACATTTTAAACCATGTTAAACTTAGTTAAACAAGAATTACAATTATACTACAAACTTGAGAACTCTCTGTGTGGGCACATACCCAGCACTATTCTTTTCGGCAGTAAAATCACAATGTTTTTATGTAGAATTTTAAACTTTTCTTCAAATCGAGATATATTGTAGATAACCTTGTGTAATTTACATTCATGCATTAAAAAGTAGGGGTCACTGTGCTTGTTTAAGAGAAAACGAGCATTTATTTCGCTGTACAGCTTAGCTTGAGGGAAATCTCTTAATATGTTTTGTATGTGCACACGCTCATATGCATGCGCTAATGACGCCAAAATTGTGCACAGTAGGGATGTGCAATGCAACACTGAGGAATCACCTTTAAGCCTGAAAAAAATTCAGGCCTGAATGGGATTTGAACCCATGACCTCTGCGTAGTTCAAATATATGATCTTTCATCTATTCACTTCTATTCTTCACCATCTACTAGTATCTTATGAACTCACAACATGGCCAGCTCCCAGATGACTTGATAGCTCAGTTGGTAGAGCACTGCACTGGTATCCCAGAGGTCATGGGTTGGAATCCCGTTCAGGCCTGAATTTTTTTTTCAGGCTTTAATAATTTCACAACTGCTTAAGTTGTGTCCATAACTGTGATGATCAATCATGCCTTCACACCTTTCTCAGCAGTTCAAATATATGATCTTTTATACATTCACTTCCATACATGGTAAGTTTTGAAAAAATCTGTTTGTGGGAACATTTTGGGTACAAACGTAGTTAAGACCATTGGCAATGACAAAAATACCCTTTACTATCCTCAACCTAAGTGTATTGTGGCCCACTTGGTATCATTTTATGGAATTTTGGTTAAACACATTATTTTCTCAGTGCCTCTATCTCTTCTTCTTCTCTACAGTTCACTCATCCCTGAATGATGGACATGAGTGTTTCGATGATATTTATAATGTAGGTAAAGAAATGACAAAGGTGCTCAAGAAACTGAAGGAACACTGGACCATACTCTCTACACTTTTCCACTGTACTTGTCACTTTTATGCATACTTTATTTACAACAGGTCAAAGCACGGTAATCTTTTGAACAATAGAATTATAATTGACATGAAAAATGACACCAACCACATTAAATTTAGTTAAATCTAGTTACTAACTACTAACTTGTTGTTTCCATATCCAACCATGGAATACGACTTGCCAGCCCCTGTCTGTCCATATGCGAATAGTGAACAATTGAAACCTGCCAGTATGAGTGAAGCATATTATTAATAAAATGTAAATGTCAGAGAGAAACCCAAGGAGCCGTAACAGTGGACAGGCGTCTTTTGCTGGATGGAGTTCATAACTGATTGTCCACAATCAGGGGAGGGCCAAGAGTAGTAACCATGTGACATTCACAAAGCATGTTTCAATATTGAACACTGATTTTTCTTTGACTATTGACGAAAAACATGCTGCTTGATCAAGGGAAGTATGGGTCTCTGTCAGAAAATGTTCTATTTGCAATTGTGCCCCAAAATTATTGTTTCTAAAATGCAGGGGCATAGCCAGGGGGGCCCCTGGGGTGCCAGTGACCCCCCGTTTTGCAGGCCTCTTTTAAGCAAACAGCCTACAGTGTAGAACAGGTGGTTGAAACAACGTGACAATCGGGTGAGCACCCTCACTTTGACACAGTGTGATCCCCCCTTTGAAAAATCCTGGTTACGCCCCTGAAATGGGGCTCTGAGGAGGGACATTCACTTCATTTCAATTTTCAAACACACGAGCAATGGTGGCAACCTGAAAGCCAGCTGTCACAACAGCTGTTGCAACCTTTCTAACCTGTGTTGTGATTCGTTTGAAATACTGTACAATCTGCTTTTCTGCATGACGATTGGCGAATTAATCAAGCTTCCAGTTACTCGTTAGTGAGTGACTCATTTGCATACAAATCCCCACCACATATGCTATGCATATCCACGAGTAAAAAAGGCAGCCATGAATCTTTTGTGCCAGTAGAAAATGAGTAGAAAAATCATTTGCCCCTAACATTGAACCTACTGAATTTCTTATGAGTCTTAATTTACTTTTGCAACCATTTTTTTTTCACGTAAACAAATATCATTTCCATGCATAACCATGGCTCTACTGCAAAAAGAAACACCTTATATTAAGTAATTATAACACAATGTCGTAAATTAAAAAAAAGGACATCTATGCTGTTTACCAGGCTTCTCAATGTTGCCAGTAATCATTATATGGAAAAAAAATTTAAACATGTATAGGATAGCCTAATCACCTGGAGACCTTTTCATGACACTAAATTAATAAATATTTAAAATGAACAATATTCATTTAATCTATCGAAAATTGACCACTATATTTCACCTATTTTCTATTAATGGATTTAATAGACTTTCGATGTAGAATATAGATCAACTTCAAGCAAAATTCAACTGTTTTGGTTATATTAGTGCCTAAAATATGCAACAAGTCGAAAATATAGGGTTTCAAATATACAGAATAATGTATTCAAATCAAAACAGGAACTAGGATTCCAACAATGATGACATGAGCTACAAGTTAACTGGACCAAATATCACAATAATTGTAATATTGCGCTTATAACTTTGCACACTATTACTCTTTCAAGGATCAAAAACATTACAAACTGAAATTAGCTTGCACGGAAACCAAACGATAAACAAATCGAAATGAATAAAGCTTCAAAAGAAACTTAATCATAATTACCATGGTACGGCACGGTGTCTTAAAATCTGAGCGGTCAACCAAGCTGACCAAGCTAATCAAAACGTGTGGTTGAAACATGAATGTCTTTTAAAAGTAAACATAGTCGACAGGAAGAGTTCTGGATGTTGTCTGATTATAATAAGCTCACCTTCGAAAGCGTTGTTCAAAACACCTTGTCCTAAATCATCGAAAACTTTTCGCTGTGTAGCGTACTTGTCGTTATCTGCGACGAGGTAGCCATTCTCGTCCTCGTGGAAGCCATCGTGAGACCTACAATTGGGTAAATGGCTCTTATCTTCGTTACGATAAACAGTTAGGCCCTCAAATTGAATATAAGAGTTTGTTTAGGGTGTGCAGAAGCTTACGTCTATAAGCTTCATAAAATGAATTTACGATTACAACAATCGTCAAATAAGGGCACATGAAATTTAACAAGCAAATTTTGGGACTCACCAATAGGAGAAATCAAACGTGAACTGTAAGATGAAGCATCATGAAAAGGAAAGAAAAAGAAATAAAATTGTGTTAGTTGTTGCGCAATGAAAGCTGAACTATTAAAACTATCGCTGTATCGCCGGTAACGAGTTGACGACAGCGCGAACGAACAAAAACATTAAAGCGAAGTAACATTCTCACCTCCTTTGGCGGGTTTCCTGTGTGAAAGAGAGAAAAATAGCGAGAAATAAGTCAGTTGTTTCAAGAAGTTAAAGCTCCTTTGGAAAACCTTTCGCGGAAAGTTTGTGGTAAAGTAGTAAGGTAAACATTCCAAAAGCGCGAAGAAGAAAGCTAAGCCCTACCTGGATTCTCCGGGTCCGTGATTTGGGTGAGAGCTCCGATCATATCAAGAACGAGCTTCGCCCCACGGTCTTTCTCTCTGCAAGGAAAACCCAAGGTTTACGTTCAAGAACACTGTATTAAGCAAAAGGAGCTTCGTGATTTACTTACCTCGAGTTGAAAGGCCGAACTCGGACCGCCACCTTCACCCTGCAAGATCATAAAACCCTGATTAATTTTGTCGTTCGTTCTCCAAAGAGTTAAATTCAGGATAAAGACAACTTACGACTCTGCCATGGCAGCTGTATGGAAGATTCAGTTGATTTCTTTCCTTTGAGACCCAATAACGATGTCTTTTCAAGTTAGATGCAAACTTATCGATGCTTTCACTCAACTGAACTCAGCCTCCAGCAAAAGCCAAGTCTGATTTGGCGACGGAGGAAGAGGGGGGAGTTACGATTAGGGCGGGGGTGGGGAGCGTAATGCAAAAGTAACCCTCTAGTTTTGTTTCTCCAGTGAAATCGACAGTCCCTGACGGGTGAATGTGATTTACAATGTGACTTTTTTAAAAAAAAAAAATACTTCGACAAGGTTAGAGACCCCAAGGCGGACGAGTTCATTTATGGAAAATATTTTTTTCATTATTTTTGACTCACAAAGCACCTGCAGCGCAAAATGCGATAAAACAAATACACTTCTGTGAGTGTGATGGTGACACCGTCAGAGAAGTGGAGCCCGCCTACAGACAATACAAAATTGCCACATTTTTATCCTTAATTATTTCGTCTGCCGTGAATCTTCTCAAGTTTGTCTGGGATTTATTTTTTTAATAAGCTATTATATTTCTGTCCCTTTCAATATTGCTGCTGGCGTTTCAGTGGTGTCAGAGAGTAAACACTGTAACAGCTCTATCAAACAGAAAGTTGAATTTCATCCAGGAATTTGACAGGCTATCGAAGTAATTTTTTTCAGTATTTACTAATTTTGTCGACAGCCGCCGGGGTTTGCTAAAAATGTAGGATTTACAGAGATGCTTTTTTGAAAGAATTCTGAGAGGAACACGAGAAACAATAAAATTTGGCTGTCTGCTGTCGACTCATTTTGAGAGTTGCTATTGAGTCTTTCTCGATAATTAAAGTAACATTTGACGCTTTGAAAGCCTTTATCGGAGCAAAAATTATGAAACATTGCGTTGTTTACAAAGTCAGCATAAGGTATGATAAAATCCTAAGTGGCGAAAGACGCGAAGTATTTGCAAAGAGATCTTCTGTATTAAGACATGGAAACTCAAAGAGAAAAAATAATTATATCGTGACGGTTCCTAGATGAAATCAAGGCCTCTGTCGCAAACAACCAAGCGTACTTGCGCTCCCTTCCCCCCCTGAACTCAAAGGGCACCGTTCACTACTGTATCCATGACAATAGCCGAGTATTGCTCCATAACAGTTCGGCAGAACAATGGAGAGGACGTGGATTGAATACCTCTGTTGTTACATTAACTTGGCTAACTAATTCCTTCGACACGCCGCTTTCGTATCCGACCACATTTTTAAAGGGCGCTGATTCCAGTCTTGCGGTATGCGGGGGAAAAAAAGCGCTCTGAAATGAAATTAAATTCAACTTTAATTGCTTATATACAAACGTTTCCAAGGTGTACAGAGCTAGCAAGTAATCGCAAACGCATAGAAGTTGGATGTCAATGTTTTGATGTGTTTTCTCCGCAGTTCATTGCGTATGAATTACATTCAAATTTAATTGCGTCAAGATATTCCTAGTTCAATAGTTATGCTGCAGTGGTTTGCACGTTAATCGGCTGTCCCACTGGTTTAAAAGCGATAATTTATGCATCGACTGATCAAGAGGTGCAAGATGTCACTTAGTTTTGTTTAACTGCCAACTAAGGCCCCGAAGAAGCCATAACTGTTTTATGACTGAAAACACTTCATAATTCATGTTTATTGTTTTTCGTTTTCTTTTTTTTTTTTTAAATATGTAAGAATTTAGCCGTCAGGAACATTGTTGTTCTGAGGTGTAGACGGAATGAATTTTATCTTCAGTTAACAGAAAACTCATAATATTGATTGAGGTAGAAACAAAGTTTATATAAACTAGCTATAACTGAGGACTCAAACAAAAAAATCATCAACACTGTACAAAGTAGAAAGAATCGTGTCTTACGAAAACCCAACAGAAGCTCTTTATAATCGCAAGACATAAGGGAAATCTCCTATGCCGTTTAAAAGCAAAAGAAGTCCTATGAGATCAGTTAATTAAGTATCCCTCATTATAGTTTTGAATATCTAATCTTTTAAAAGATCATAAATTTAAATGATGTCATTTAGACTGAGCTCTTTGCTTTTCAGTTAGCCGTTATCGATTTACCAGCAGTGAATGTGGATTTTATATTCGGGGGTACGAAATCCCTACAAATATAATTTGGAAGAAGCCCACTTTGGATTCAAATAGACATTTTTAACTCAATTGCAGATTTTCCAATCCAGCTTGTTATTAGTCCAGTCCCTGAACTTTCCTTCCTTCCCGCCCCATACAGGGGCTGAACCCGGGCTGGCGAAAAGAGATACCTTCTTTTCGCTTAACGATCCTTAACGGCATTTTAAGAATTCCAAACGGCAGTTATATGATATGCCTGGTGTTCAGTTGAACTTTATATCCGTAAGTCAAGTGAAACAACGTTTCCGCTAGTGAGCAAATATTTGCATAGAAAGTCCTGCTCCAAAGAGATGAAATGACCTTGTCTGTCAATCGAAAACTACCTGACATTAATTACAAAGGCAGCAGACAAAACATTAGCCTGACAAGGCTTAGATTAGGATGCCATGCATTACGAATACAAACTGGCAAATATGAAAATAGAGGAGCATTAATTCCAGTAGAAGAGCGAACATGTTTCAGTAGTATGCAAAGAAAATTGCATAAAAACATGAACAACATTGCTTGATGTGTTGTCAGGGGTATAGCACTTAAGACATGAGCTGCAC